TTGATGTATTTCAAATATGTTATTTGTAGTGACTTTTCAACATCTCTTTCCGCACTTTTAACTCGGTTTTTATTTGTAAGGAAATATTTGGTTTATAGAAGTGAAAAATATGCAATCGCATTTTTAGATGAGATTAAGATGTCGTTTCCATATTCAGTAAATATTAATAGTTTATTATCGAATTTGTATAATTAAAAAACAGAAATTGAAATGTTGAAAAAAAAATCTAAAACCAGAAAACATAGTTAAACATATCTATATATATAAAAATGAATGTGTGTTTGTTTGTATGTTTGTATATTTATTCTTTGGTTTTCACAGCGTATTCCTGTATGTCTGGAATAGGTATAGGCTGCTTTTTATTTGAAATTTCAAGTGGGCGAGGTGCCACGCCCATATTAGAAAATATTAAATCCGTATATTTGAGATAATATAACAGTTAGAGTCCTCAAATTTTGTCGGAGCCACTTTAGTGTCAATATGATTATTTAGGACAAAAAGTAGGCGGACTAGCATTAGGGGGCGTGGCACCTCCCATATAAATTAAAAACAAAAATTCGTTTATCTTAGAAACAATTACAGTTAGAATCTTAAAATTTTGCACAAATAATTTTAACATCCATGTTAACATTTGGGAAATAATTGGCGGACTACCCATGAGGGGAGCGGCACCTCCCATATTAATTAAATGCAAAAATTCGTTTATCTGGGAAACTAATAGAACTAAATTCTTCAACTTTTGCACTAAGAACTTAAATACAGGGTTTCAAAAAACTGCTAATTGCAGTCGCAAATTACTAAATATTTGACTAAATTTAGTACCATGCTTAAAAATAGTAACTAGTTAAAATTTCCCCTTACAAGCTAACTGAAGTCAGTCAACTGTGTCAACACATTGCTGCAATACCTTGCAAGTGGTTTTGTTTTTCTTCAGCAGCCACACACACAAGCAGCGGCCATGTTAAGTTTTTCAACTCAGCCGAACTGAACACAACGACTGAACAGTAAAAACAGATTTGCGTGTGCTGCTTACGTATTGCTTAGTTCTTGGTTTCGTTTTCTTACTAAGGGACGTAAAAAAAACTGATAGTTTGACTGGTTAGTACAAATCAAGCTGACTGAACAATAAACTTGATGTGTTGTTTGTTCAGTAAGACTTTGTTATTGTATGCAATTTGTTTTAGTATATTGTATGTTTTTGTGTTTAAATTTGACAAAAGTAAATAAAGTAATTGATAATTATTGCTAATAGAAATTGTTAATTAATTTAAAATTTATAAAATTATAAATTACTATACTTATAAATTTAGATATTTTCTTTAAATAAAAATTGAATCAAATTTAAGCATTTTGATGATTTTTTAGTGAGATTTTGTTATTGTATGTATGTAGTATATTAGGGTGGGTCGAAAATAGGCTTTTCGCTCGGAGCAACATCTAATAGTGAAATTATGTTGTATTTTAACGTCAAATGGAAGACTGTAAAATATTCTTCAATTATTTTGAGGGTAAGAGCCCGCGCATCGCCGCCAAAGTTTGTAAATGCGTTTATATGGGAAAAATGGCACTTTTTGGAGTTTTTTCACAAAATGAGGCTTTAAGTATTAATTATTGCACCATTTTATAGCAAAATCGTAATGTCTACAAAATTGTCTTTCCAAAAAGATGGAAAAACTCAAAATTGGTTAAAAAAGTTTTGAGTTATTAAAATTTCCCCCGAGAATTTTGTGATTCTGAAGACATATAAAAGTAAATATAAGAAAATTTTTGTTAGTTTTGAAAAATTTTACAAAAAAAATATTATGTTTATCTTTATAAGGTTCATAAATGTGCTAGTACGAATTTTTGTTCAAATTGGATAACGCTTACTCGGTTAAGTCTGTGGTCAAAAAAGGGCCATTATTTTAACAGCATCTCCAAAACTCCATTTTCAAACTTTAAAAAATTTTGTTAAATTGATTATTCAAAATTAAAGTTTTCTATACTGGATATTATAAAGGATATATATAAGAATTAAACACAGAAAGAATGAGCTTAATACCTCTCATAGTTTTACCGTACCTGCGATGTGAATTTGAAGGATTTCGGGAAAAAGGCAATTTTTGCCAATAATTAAGTAAAAATTATATTATTACCAATTGTTACTTAATTTTGATCAAGTAAATTGCGATTATTATTTCCGAGTCCATGGAAAGTTAGTTCTAATCAAATTTTCGAAACTAAAAAAAAACACCGGGGCCAAAATCAAATTTTTGAATTTTATGTTCTTGAAGAAATAAGAGCATGATGTTGTTAATTTGTTGATGGATATTGATGAAACTTCTTAGAAGTTATTTTTACTACATTCAAATAATACGATATATATCCATTAAATCTTTAAGAAAATTCATTTTAGAAAATTCATTTTTAAAAGTGTTTTTTCGGTCTTGAATTGACCCCAAGTATGACAGAGGGTTAATTTTTGAAGAAGTTTGATTCCTAGATTTCTGGATATATTTTCGTGTAGTTTGTCAAAATGAATTCATAATTAAATACACAATATTTTGCTATTTTTAATGAAGAATATTAAATATACAAAAACTTGATTTTGACCCCGGTTTTTAGACGGTTAATGATTTTTAATTTCGGAAATTTTATCAGAAATAACTTTTCATGGACTCGGAAATAATAATCGCAATTTAATTGATCAAAATTAAGCAACAATTGGTAATAATATAATTTTTACTTAATTATTGGCAAAAATTGCCTTTTTCCCGAAATCCTTCAAATTCACATCTCAGGTACGGTAAAACTATGAGAGGTATTAAGCTCATTCTTTCTGTGTTTAATTCTTATATATATCCTTTATAATATCCAGTATAGAAAACTTTAATTTTGAATAATCCATTTAACAAAATTTTTTAAAGTTTGAAAATGGAGTTTTGGAGATGCTGTTAAAATAATGGCCCTTTTTTGACCACAGACTTAACCGAGTAAGCGTTATCCAATTTGAACAAAAATTCGTACTAGCACATTTATGAATCTTATAAAGATAATTTACTTTTGTCAAATTTAAACACAAAAACATACAATATACTAAAACAAATTGCATACAATAACAAAGTCTTACTGAACAAACAACCCATCAAGTTTTATTGTTCAGTCAGCTTGATTTGTACTAACCAGTCAAACTATCAGTTTTTTTTACGTCCCTTAATAAGAAAACGAAACCAAGAACTAAGCAATACGTAAGCAGCACACGCAAATCTGTTTTTACTGTTCAGTCGTTGTGTTCAGTTCGGCTGAGTTGAAAAACTTAACATGGCCGCTGCTTGTGTGTGTGGCTGCTGAAGAAAAACAAAACCACTTGCAAGTTATTGCAGCAGTGCGTTGACACAGTTGACTGACTTCAGTTAGCTTGTGAGGGAAAAATAAATACTTGAACTTTCTTCAGTTCAGTCGACATTTAAAAAAATAAAACTAAAAACTAAATATTAAACCCTGCTTAAATATTCGTCTGAACATTTGGATGAAAAAGATCGGACTTCCATCTGGGGGGGGGGGGGCTTGGAGCCCCCATATGAATTAATTAGAAAAAATCGTATATCTTAGAAACTATTAGAGCTAGAATCTTCAAATTTTACTTGAAAAACTTTGACATTCATCTGAACAATTAGAGTATACCGGGCGGACTTTCAATGGGGAACTTGACAACTCCCATATGACTTAAATATAAAATTTCGTTTATCTGGGAAACTAATAGAACTAGATTCTTCAAATTTTGCAGAAATTACTTCAATAATCATCTGAATATTTTGGAGGAAAAAGATCGGACTTTAATCTGGGGAGCTTGAAGCCCCCACATGAATGAAATAGAATAATTGTATATCTGGAAACTACTAGAGCTAGAATCTTAAAATTTTACATAAAAAACTCTGACATTCATGTGAACATTTAGAGAATAGCGGGCGAGCTTTCAATTTTGGGCTTGGCACTACATAAAAGAATTAAATACAAAATTTTGTATATCTTGGAAACTATTAATTATTAAAATTTTTCATAGATAGATAGAAATTGGCGAACTTTCAATAATTTGCTTGGCATCTCTAATATGTAACATATTGTAAATCTAGAGAACTATTGCAGTTATAATCTTCAAAATCGTTAAGTGGGTTTTTTATTTATACTGCTTTTAGGGTAGCAAAGCACACTGGGTAAAGCTAGTGTTAGAATAAAAATAAATAAATTATTTTTGACATAACCCATGCACTTTTTAAATAAACAAATAAAAATCAGCTGCCTTGACGATTTCACCTTACTTAGTGCATCCTGTTATTAACTTTACACAGAAAAAGATAATACATAACTTGAATGAATTTTGTAATATATTGTATGAATCGAACATGACTTTTTTTTCTAAAACCATTTTCATTCAGAATACTAAAAGTTCATAAAATGTATGAACTTGTGCATGACGGAAATTTTTTGAATTTTTATTTTTTTTCTACGCTATTCATGAAAAATTGCAAAAGAGTCCATTATCTACCAATCTGTTTCCATATTTAGTAGATAGTAATCCTTTATTAGCGAATTTTGTATAATAAAAAAATATAAATTGAAATGCAGAAAAACCAAATCTCAAACAAGAAAACATCAGCCAACATAGTTAAGCATCTATTCTTCATAAAATGCCGCCAAATACGTGTATATTTCATCGATTTTAATTAAAAAATCATAAAGAAATACAAATGAAATGAAATGAAAATTTCAAACATTTTTCTTAACAAATAGAAAAATAAATTTGAAATATTTTAAGTCAAGGCTTCTAGATTATGTTTGAAAAAATATAAATTAAAAAATTCATACAATTTAAGAACTTATACTTAAATGTTATTAACTTTAAACAATGAAAGCAGTTCATAATATTTATGCTGAAACTTTTTTCTGTGCATAAGTGTTAAAAATTTGTGATGAAATGTTTTTTGATTCTACAACCATATTTTTCATCTTAACTATTTTTAGGTGGATGAAAGATCTTTTTCGTCGTGGTCTCAAAGGTCCCTTAGAGGATGAGGAATTATATCAACATCGTAAAAATTTAGATAGCGAGCGTGTTACTGAGAAATTTGGTCGTTTATGGGATGAAGAACGAAAACGCAAGAACCCGAGTGTTGTACGTATGATAGTTAAAGCGTATGGGTCAGTGTTTTTACCTTTGGGTATTTTATATTCAGTTTGTGAATCTATAACAAAGTAAGTCTCGTAAGATCTTAGGTGATTATATATGTATTATTATTTAATTTTAATACTTATTTATAAAATTTTCAGAGCTTTACAGCCACTGTTCTTAGGAGGATTGGTAGCTTATTTTGCAAATGGACAAACGGCAATAAGCGAGAAAAGTGCTTATCTTTTTGCCGGTGGTATTGTGTTATGTTCGATAGTGCCGGTGCTGACATTCCATCCATTCATATTCTACATATTTCAAGTGGGTACAAAAATACGGTTAGCACTATCAGGTTTGATATATCGTAAATGTTTGCAAATTTCTAAAAGTGCCAGCAATGACGGCTTACGCGGGCGTGCTATAAATATATTATCTAATGATTTGGGAAGATTTGATGTAGCCTTATGTTTTTTACACGACATTTGGAAAGGTCCTATCGAATCCCTTATTATTGGTTATTTAATGTACCGAGAAATTGGTATGTCGGCTGTGATTGGTGTGGCGTTCATGTTGAGTTTTATTCCACTACAAGCATGGGCCGCTAAAAAGGCTGCATATTATAGACAGAGGACAGCGGAACGAACAGATCTTCGTGTAAAGCTTATGAACGAAATTATACAAGGAATTCAAGTGATAAAAATGTACGCATGGGAAAAATCTTTTGCCAAGGTAGTAGCCGAAGTTAGATTGAAAGAAGTTAAAGCTATACGAGGAACTTCGTATATACATGCTGCTCTAAGTTGCACATCGATGATATCTCCACTTTCAGTGTTTTTGGCATTAGTTTCATATGTATATATGGGTGATACTTTGACTGCAAAACGAGTATATACTGTGTCGTCATATTTCAATATGTTAAATGATTCTATGGTACACTTCTGGCCCCTTTCAATAACGTTTATTGCTGAGGCCTGTGTCTCAGCCAGAAGATGCAAAGAATTTCTATTGGATGGTGACCAGGCTGAAGCTCCATTGAAATTAGAAAAGAAATTAAAAAAGAAAAAGGCGAATAAATCTCAAAATAAAGACCAAAATAAAAATACAGTAGATAAATTAAATTTCATAGACAATCGAATAGAAGCGACTATTGAATCTAGTCCTGTGCGAAATGTAAGAACATTAAATATTAATGCGGTTTCCAAGGGAGTGACACTGCGTAGTGCAACTGCAACATGGGATAGTGACAGTTCACATGGCTACACAAGTCCAGCAATATCAAATTTAAATGTTGAAATCAATGAAAAAACTTTGGCAGCAATTGTTGGGCCAGTAGGTTCAGGTAAATCGACTTTTCTTAATGTTCTTTTGGGAGAAGTTCAAATTGATTCCGGTGAAGTTCTAGTCAATGGAAAAGTATCATACTGCTCTCAAGAACCTTGGGTTTTTGAAGGGACAATTAGAGACAATGTTGTCTTTGTTGAAGATTATAATGAAAGACGATATAAGCGCGTCTTAAAAGTGTGCGCTTTAGAAAGAGACCTTGAGTTGCTCCCCCGAGGAGATTTGACAATAGTTGGAGAGCGTGGAGTTAGTCTTAGCGGTGGTCAAAAAGCTCGAATAAATTTAGCCAGAGCTGTTTATCGTAAAGCGGATATTTACCTATTAGACGATCCTTTATCAGCCGTAGATACTCATGTTGGCAAGCACATTTTTGAGAGATGCATAAATGATTTCTTGTCGTCGAAAATTCGAATATTGGTTACACATCAGTTGCAGTATTTGTTTGACGTTGAGCAACTTTTGTTAATGGGATCGGGGAGAATTGTAGCTCAAGGTAGCTATCAGGAACTGCAAAGGTCTAAACAATTTCAATTTTTGGCTCAAACCCACCATGAATGTGGCGGAGGAGATACGGCTGGTGATGAAGTTAGTGTTAGCAGTCACTTGTCAAGAAGTGACTCAGAAAAAAGTATGGAACATTATTACCATTTGTTGCGACCAGACGAAAAGCCTGTCGAAGATGTGAATAAGGAAGCCCAAGCAATAGGGTCTGTTAAGCTAGATGTCTATCTTTCTTACTTTAAAGCCCTTGAAAGTACCTTTATACTAATCCTTATAGTAGGACTCTTCATATGTGCCCGCATAATGCTGAATGGTGTTGATTATTTTTTGTCACGATGGTAAGATCGTTAGCAATATTTTAATGTTTTAGCCTGTACTTATTTGTATAAAATTATCTGACCATTTTTAGGGTTATTTGGGAGGAAAACAAAAATTCATCCTATGTTGGTGCAAATAGTTCTTTCACAGAAGTTCTGATTTCGAATTACACAATTTTTGATGCAACTTCCGATGGAGACTTTCAAGAGAAAGAAAATGAAAGACAGAAGAGAGTAATTATTTATTCATCAATGTTGGGTGCTACCCTGGTTGTGTATTTGTTACGGACTTTTGGATTTTTCCGAATGTGTTTACGAATTTCTCTAAAGTTACATGATCGTTTATTTCGAGGCATTACGCGCACAAGCATGTACTTTTTTAATACAAACTCTTCTGGTCGCATTTTGAATCGTTTTTCAAAAGATATCAGAACAGTGGATGCGGATTTACCTCACACATTAATGGATTGTTTATCTGTAAGACTTTTTGTCAACTTATTTTAATTCTAAATACTTATAAAAAAATTCTAAATACTTCATAAAATTTCAGTTCGCGATTGATGCCTCAGGCGTACTGATTATAGTGGCGATTGCAAATTATTGGCTGTTAGTGCCTGCAGTTGTAATAGTAATTTGTCTTGTTGGTATACGATTTCTCTACGTAAACACGAGTCGCAGTGTCAAACGTTTGGAGTCTATTTGTAAGTAATAGAACTGGAATGACTTCATTGTAGTGATTTAACTAATAGACATATTATTTGCATTTTAAGCGCGCAGCCCTGTGTACTCGCTCACCAATCAAACCTTCCAAGGACTTACAACAATTAGAGCATTGGAAGCCGAATCAGCATTAGAGTCGGAATTTCATGATTATTTAAACGCAAATACGTCTGCATGGTTCTTGTTTCTATCCTGTACTAGAGCATTTGCTCTATGGACAGATATTATTTGTGTTTTTTATATAACTGTCGTTACATTTAGTTTTCTATTGCTTGGAGCGGACTTTAACAGTGGAGACGTTGGCTTGGCCATTCTACATTCAAGTACTATGATTGGTATGTGTCAATGGGGCATGCGTCAAACAGCAGAATTAGAGAATCAAATGACCAGTGTTGAACGTGTGTTGGAGTATACCGAACAACCACCAGAGCCACCAATGGAAACATTAGATAAATTCAAACCCAAAGGTGAATGGCCAAGTAAAGGTCGTATTGAGTTCATTAACTTCAAATTGAAATATGATCCGAAAGAGTCGTATGTTTTGAAGGATCTGAACTTTACTATTGAATCGAATGAGAAAGTTGGCATCGTAGGAAGAACAGGAGCTGGTAAATCTTCTATTATACAATCACTATTTCGCTTAGCCTACAATGAGGGTGTAATTCGTATTGACAATGTGAACATTGAACAACTAGGACTTTATGATTTGAGAAGCAATATTTCTATCATACCACAAGATCCTGTACTATTTTCGGGCACTTTACGCTATAATCTGGATCCATTAGAAGAATGCAGTGACGTGGATATGTGGAGGGCGTTAGAAGATGTCGAACTGAGAGGACATGTCTCGACACTTATTGGTGGATTAAACTGTCGCATGTATGATGGTGGCTCCAATTTTAGTGTAGGCCAAAGACAACTGGTTTGCTTAGCAAGGGCCATTCTCAGAAAAAATAAAATTTTAATACTAGATGAAGCTACAGCTAACGTGGACCCTGAGTAAGTAATAAAACTGATATGTTTGATTAACTTATCATAATGACAATCAACTTTTATCTCATTTATGAAACATTGCAGAACCGATAAACTTATACAAAAAACTATAAGAACGAAATTTTCAGACTGCACCGTTCTAACCATAGCTCATCGTTTGCACACTGTCATGGATAGTGACAGAGTTTTAGTTATGGATGCTGGTCAAGCTGTTGAACTTGGTCATCCTTTTGAGTTACTACAAAAACCAGGTGGCTTCTTACGTACGTTAGTTGATCATACCGGCCTAGCGACAGCAGCAGCCCTATTTCAAGCTGCTGAGGAAAACTATAAGTTGAAATTTGAAAGAACTAAAAACGACACAGATACAAAAAAACAATTGTGATAAAAAGTATTACTGAAACTGCTACATCGTATACATACATATACATTCATATTTACATACATATATGAAACCTACTTACGAATGAAATCTCTTTTTAAATGTATTAGTCAATTTTTTATTTAAATGTTTAAAACTATCATCAATTAATTTTCATTAAGTATTCAATTTATACTGCCAATTTAAAAAGTTCGGTACTTGATTTATTTCTTCCATTTATGTGTTCTAATTAAATACATACAAAACATACGATACCTATCTATGTTCGTATGTAAGTGTAAATTGTAAAATATAATAATTTATTATAGATGTTTGTATTAATTTAAATTAAATGCAATTTATTATATAAAGTATTCATAATCAGATCAAAAATCATATAGGAATTTACTTCTTTTGTTGTTTTTATATTATATTAGAAGTTTATATATAAGACTAACAATTAAAATGAATACACGTATACGTACTTACAAATACAATACATATTTTTGTACTTAACATATTTAAAAACCAAATAAAGTGCCTAAACTTATGCAATTTTTCATGAGAAAAATTTAAAATTATAAATAATAATAATAAAATAAATGCTATATGATGGTCACTAAACACAATTTAATTTTGACTCAAATTTATTTTTTGGCGATGATAATTTTACAAGTAAGAGTGCTATATTCGGCTGTGCCCTGTATAGGCTATATTCCATTGTTATGGATGTATTAATTTCATTTTTTGATGATTCTAAATTCGTGATCGTTTCTGCAAACTTTCAGCTTTTAACATTGGCAAGTCTGGCCCAGACTTAATACAATGATGACATTGAAGACAAGTACTTACCACGCTCGCATACAAATAGGGAGTTAACTAAGTACTTACCACGTTCGTTTGCTAAAAAAGAGTTAAGAAAGTAGTTTTGTTTTTGAATAAATTTGAAAATTAGAAATATCTAGGCTAAAATGTTATTTGAAAGTCATTACTAGATTGGTCAAAACGGAGTCTCTTAGATTGTACTTGACAGTTCGCGCGCTGTGAACTACCACGTAAACCAACCAACCATTACTAGACTGCTTTCAAATAATGCAGACGGTATGTATTAGTCATGGAAAGGTAAGTTGTAAGTACAAGCCATTGTCGCATTACATTAATGCGTCGGATGTCACTTATTTGAAAGTCATAGAAAAGTGAAAACAGTCAATGAACAATTGGTAAATTTTTATTTATTTCGATATGGAGTTTTATTTTGTAACTAATTTGATCCATTAATAAAACAGTATGCAATACAATACAATAATTTTCAGTTTGTGCAAATATTATAATTATTTTTAGATACTACTTACAGTATTTAATAATACTCCACATACATATATAATTCGCACTATCTCTCTCTGGATCATCAAAATCAAAATGGGTACTATTCAAGTAAAAATACTTATTATAGATAAGATATTTCAACTTTTATTTACTATTTCAACTTTTATTTACTATTAGTTAGATTGCAGCAGCTACTATATCAATTTTATTCTAATTTAAAAAACGGTTAAAAGACCAGGAATATTTTTTAACAGCAACAATAGGTAGACTCGAGGGCGCGTTAATAACGTGTAATGATGGTGTTATTTTACTTTATTTTAACTTTTTAAGTTGTTGTTGATATGATGAATCCTGTCAATACGGATTTAGATAAATTCATCAAATGTAGAGAATTAATTTATTTCGTCGTTTATTTTTATAGAATTTCTATGTGTGGTTGTTTTTAACTGTGAATTATATCTTCTTAGCACAGGTTAAAATAGTGGTCATATCGAATGAAGAACTCAGTGTGCGCGTATCGTTAAAAAATAAATATTAAAAATTAATAACGAGCAATTTTAAAATTATAATAAAGAATTGATTAAATAATGGTTCTGTGTGTTTGATTACAAAATTAAAATACTAATAAAATGAATAAATCACAAGAAAACAGTGAACGTAAACCAAATCCAATTTTAAAAGCAAATTTCTTATCAAAATGGTTCTTCTGGTAAATATTATTAAATATTTATGTTAAAAGAAAATTATAACAAACAAAACATCTTTTAAATAGAGCCTAACAAAGAATTTATAACATTTTTTATTGTGGACATACTTTGCTTTCGACATCAAGAATTAACAAGTTTGAGACATAATTTAAAATCACTTAAATAATTTAGAGTCACTAAATATCTTGATTGCATGTGAATTTTGATAAGTACCACTTCTATTTATGACACATTCGAATTTCATTTAAGTGTACCGTCGATTATTTAATGATGGTTGCTTAAATTATACAAATATTGGTGCAGCGTCGTTTTATAGTTTTCGTTAAAATAATAGTAATGATATCAAAGGTAACAAGAAATCTAAAAAATAATGTATTCAAAGTAATTAAACTTATAAAAATATTTCATTTTAAGATGTTGGAATATTTTCGTCTTCCTAAAATTAGTAAATTATCTAATATAAAAATTTGTCTAACAAGAAATAAAGATTAGGAGATATGCTATTTTAAAAAGTGCTATTTTGTGTCTCTTGTAAAACTCAAGATTTTTATCTAGAAAATTTCTAATTTAGAAGGATCTTTCTAAATATGTATTTACTTGTCACATAAAGTTCATCTGATGCAATAGGTTCAAGGCGGTTAATGTTTTAAACAAACCTATAATAAAAATAAAATTATCAGAATTTTATAAAAACTTTTTTCCTTTTCTGAAAAAATTTTTTGAGTTGAGTCACTTTTGTACTGGGTGTGCGATATGTATGTATATTACACCGTTTCACACTGTACGGAAAGCAAAATCGTGTTATTGTTACCCCTTTAAATATTTACCTTGCTTTGTTTCATGATGATTCCCAAAATATTTTATTTTGATTAGAACCAAATTCAAAATCGAAGTTTTTTTCAACATTTTTTTTAAATTTAATTTTTTTTCAAACAGATTTTAAAAGCCATATTTATTCAATGGAGTATTAAACATAAATAAACGTGTTCTTATAGTTAAAAGAATTGTATGTTTATACCCTACACCACTATAGTGGGTAGGGTATTATACGTTTGTGCTAATGTTTGTAACCTAGCCCCCGTACGCTTCGAATGGGGCTTTGGAGCACATAGTTCTCTTAAATGATCTATTATCTTTATAAAAAATGGCACCACTTAGTTTTGTATAAGCTTCAATGATACTGCGTTTACATTTTGTCAAAATTAGTTTTATCATATCCGAAGGATTTGCATTAAAAATTTTGGTTTGAAAGAATTTAATGGTATTAAATATCTCATATACGCGTCCGAAGAATATTCGTATAAAAATAACTGTTTTTATATTAATAGAATTTGTTTATTTAATTTTCATTGTTCGGTCATCAGAATCTGGCTGGCTGGCTGACTATTTATTGGCCATAAATTATTTGATAATAAAAATAAAATACCAACAAATAGAAGACATAGAATGAAATCGAAAAAGGGAAATTGTTTAATAAATTAAATTTTGATACTATTACTGATACTATTTATTTATTTACTCGTCCATTGATGATGATGTGTTTGTCTTATCAAAAAAAAAAAAAAAAAAAAAAACACGACACCATATTTATTTCGTGCTTTTGCGTTTGATATTTGTAGTGTGCTACTCATGTGAGGGAGGATTTAAAACTGTCAGTCAAATCAAAAGTCAATACTCACTAATGTGGCCTTTTTTAAAATGGTTTATGACTTTATTTTGCCAGATTTCATTTGAACTTGATGATTATGATAACGTGCTATGCACATAAACAATAACGGAAAGTTTGTTTTGAATTGATTTTTGTTACAGGTGGACACGAGAGACATTTCGTAAAGGCTATAGAGAACAATTGGAAGCGGATGATCTTTACGAACATATTCCCACTTTGGATAGCAAAAATGTTTCGTTTGCTCTTATTAAGCATTGGGAAAGAGAGGTTCGCCGTAAAAAGCCTAGTTTGTTGCATATGATATTTAGAGCATACGGATGGAAATTTGTACCAACATGCATTTTGTATTCAATTTTGGAAATTTCTATACAGTAAGTCAATATCGAAGGGCATAGTAGAAATTATACACTTTTAATATTTGCTTATCGCTTTTCAAGTTGTTCACAGCCATTGTTTCTCGGTGGATTGGTGTCCTTTTTTGCTGAGGGTCAAACGGACATAAGTAAAAATCAGGCATATCTCTATGCCACTGGTATAGTTCTGTGTTCGTTGGTATCGACGCTATGCTTCCACCCCTTCATGTTCTACCTCTTTGAAACGGGAACTCGTATACGTTTGGCTTGTTCTGGTTTAGTTTATCGGAAATGTCTACGTTCCTCGGTGACAGCAGAAAACAGCGGAATGAGTGGCTTTGCAATTGCGGTTCTTTCAACAGATTTGCCACAATTTGATATGACATTTTATTTCTTTCATGATTTGTGGAAAGGACCCATTGAGGCATGTATTATGGGTTATATAATGTATTTAGAAATAGGTTGGCCAGCGATTGTTGGCTTGGCTTCCATTATAATTTTTATACCACTACAAGCATGGGCTGCTAAAGCCTCTGCGCACTTTAGGCATGAGTCGGCGGAACATGGGGATGATCGTGTTAAGTTAATGAATGAGATAATAACAGCCATGCAGGTTATAAAAATGTATGCCTGGGAAAAATCGTTTGCAAAATTGATTGCTTTGATACGCAAGAAGGAGATAAAAGCCATTAGGGGCTCTATGAACATCTACGCAGCTCTACAATGTACCGAAATGATTTCCAAGTTAGCACTTTTTCTTAGCTTGGTGTCGTACGTCTATACTGGTGAGATTGTGACTGCAAAAAAGGTGTTCATCATATCCTCATATTATGATGTTTTAAATGATTCTCTTTTGCACTTCTGGCCATTGGCAGTTACTACTTGGGCTGAAACGACAGTATGTGCCCGTCGTGTTGTCACGTTTCTAATGCAGAGCGAAGATCCGGCGGATGGAGGATTAGAAAACTTCGGAATGGACGACGATGATGAAAAAGGAAATTTCAGTGGTCGTGTTCACAATCCCAGAGCTATTAAAAAGGGAGTTATCCTACACAACTTGTCCGCTAGCTGGGACAAAGTTGAATCTGATAAGCGGCGGAGCCACATTGAAAATGTAAATGCTCACATTCACGAACAACAATTTATAGGTATTGTTGGTAATGTTGGCTCTGGGAAGACTACATTACTTAATGCCATACTGGGAGAATTGGAAATTATTAAGGGAAATGTCGAAGTAAATGGCACCATAAGTTATGCACCGCAAGAAGCGTGGATTTTTGAATCGAGTATACGAGAGAATATTCTATTTGTCGAAAAATACGAGGAGGCACGTTATAAGGCGGTATTGCATGCTTGTGAGCTAGAGCGAGATATTTCCCTATTTCCTCACGGAGACTCGACAATAGTGGGAGAACGCGGTATAAGCTTAAGTGGCGGACAAAAGGCACGTATAAGTTTGGCGCGTGCGGTTTATCGCCAGGCTGATATTTACATATTCGACGATCCTCTCTCTGCCGTGGACTCTTATGTTGGCAAACGCTTGCTAGAACAATGCTTTAAACGATTTCTATCTGATAAAATTCGTGTATTAGTGACACATCACGTACAACATCTAAAGGACACTGATCGTTTAATATTAATGGAAAATGGAATTGCCGCCGAGCAAGGTACATATGAAACTCTCAAAACAACAATACGTTTTAGAGTACACCTGGAACATGAAGATGATGAACAGAAAGCAAGTATTCAACATGCCGACAGCATAATTGATAAGGATCGAGATGAAAAGTTCAAAACACATGAGATATTGCCAGATGATACAAAGGATAAAGGAGAAGAACGCAAAGAACTTCAAATGCAGGGGTCTGTCAAATTGCTTACCTATTTCACCTACTTTTATGCCTTGGGTATGCCATGGTTAATTATTTTCGTATTTGTACTCTTTATATTGGCCAGAGCTTGTCAGGCGACAATGGATATTTTCATATCAAAATGGTATGTATACATTTTCTCATATATGTATGTATGTATGTATGTATGTATGTATGTATGTAGTATGTATGTATGTATGTATGTATGTATGTATGTATGTATGTATGTATGTATGTATGTATGTATGTATGTATGTATGTATGTATGTATGTATGTATGTATGTATGTATGTATGTATGTATGTATGTATGTATGTATGTATGTATGTATGTATGTATGTATGTATGTATGTATGTATGTATGTATGTATGTATGTATGTATGTATGTATGTATGTATGTATGTATGTATGTATGTATGTATGTATGTATGTATGTATGTATGTATGTATGTATGTATGTATGTATGTATGTATGTATGTATGTATGTATGTATGTATGTATGTATGTATGTATGTATGTATGTATGTATGTATGTATGTATGTATGTATGTATGTATGTATGTATGTATGTATGTATGTATGTATGTATGTATGTATGTATGTATGTATGTATGTATGTATGTATGTATGTATGTATGTATGTATGTATGTATGTATGTATGTATGTATGTATTTATTTATTTATTTACAGTTATTCCATTACCTAGTAATTTTTATTATTTTATTATTTTTTAGGGCTACTTGGGAAGAAACTTTGCCAACAGTACATGAGACTTATTCTGAATATACTTCCAAGCGAACACGTCTAGTGGTAGTCTATACTATATTCATTATTGCTACTTTAGTCTTGTACATCATGCGCACCTTTGGGTTTTTTATGATCAGCTTAAAAATCTCCTTACGTTTACACGACAGTCTTTTCAATGGCATAATTCGGGCGTACATGTATTTCTTCAATACAAATCCATCTGGTCGGATTTTAAATCGTTTTTCTAGTGATATCACTAATATAGATGTGGCATTACCACAGGCTATGTTAGATTCTTTGGAGGTAAGTGCCTTTCCCGTTCTTTAGTTACAGTAAATTGTCACAAAGGAATACACATTATGATATCTTTACTTCTCTTAGTTCTTCGTCAACGCGTTTGCCGTTCTGGTTATTGTAGCTATAGCAAACTATTGGCTTCTAATACCGGCTTTTATAATGATATTATTACTTTATTTTTGTCGAGGACTTTATATCGGAGCTAGTCGTAGCTTAAAAAGGATTGAAGTCATGTGTAAGTATAAATGTTCTAATGTTCAGAAACTTTCATTCATTTCGCATTGGTATATTTTTGTGAAAAATCAAATACATTAGTTTATTTTACTAATAATTTCGGTAAAACTAAAAATTGAGTCCTTTTTTGAAATTTAAATTATTCCCACAGACCTAAGGGGCACAAAATTTCTAAAATAATGTTTTTACTAGGTGTCTTATAGAATTATAGATATGAATCTTACTAATGCACTTACTCAACCATTCATATTTCAATTTGTATTTTTTTAGCACGAAGTCCTGTATATTCTCATACTAATCAAACGTTTCAAGGATTAACAACGATACGGGCATTAAATGCCACACGGCATTTGGAACACGAATTCCATGGATTGCAGAATAAGAACACCTCCGCTCTTTATCTCTATGTTACTTCGAATAGAGCTTTTGCGTTTTGGACCGATTTGATTTGTGTTTTATATATTTTGGCAGTGACTTTCAGTTTTCTTTTGATTGATCGTAATTTTTATAGTGGCGACGTAGGCTTGGCCATTACGCAATCCATGACTCTGGTAATAATGTGTCAGTGGGGTATGAGACAAACAGCTGAAATGGAAAATAACATGACCAGTGTTGAACGTGTTATCGAATATGCAGAAACTCCATCAGAGCCAGCATTGGAAACGGACCCTTCAGTTAAGTTACCCGAATGCTGGCCATCTGAAGGTCGCATGATCTTTAATAATTTGCGTCTACGCTATTCTGAAAAGGGTGATTATGTATTGAAAGGTTTGAATTTCTCAATAAATCCGATGGAAAAAATTGGCATCGTTGGGCGAACAGGTGCAGGAAAATCGTCTATTATTCAAGCCATATTTCGCTTGGCTAAGAACGAAGGAGTAATTGATATTGATGGCCTCGACATTGAAGATTTGGGATTACATGACTTGCGTAGTCGTATTTCGATTATACCTCAAGATCCAATATTGTTTTCGGGAACCTTGCGTTACAATCTCGATCCATTTGAAGAAAAGACCGATGAAGAAATATGGCATGCGTTAGAGGATGTTAAGTTAAAGCCATACGTCAAAGCCTTAGACGGAGGACTGTCATCTCGCATGTACGATGGCGGATCCAATTTTAGTATGGGTCAACGTCAATTGATATGCATGGCTAGAGCAATTCTACGACACAATAAAATACTTATAATGGATGAAGCCACTGCAAATGTCGATCCGGAGTAAGTTTTCATGTTATGATTTGTTTAAAATCGTTTCAATTATTGTCTTTATTCCCAGAACTGATAAACTCATCCAAGAAGCCATTCAAAGCAAATTTGCCAAATGTACCGTCCTTACAATTGCACACCGATTGCATACTGTTATGGACAACGATAGAGTTTTGGTGGTAGATGCCGGTAATGTAGTTGAATTGGGACATCCTTTCGAGTTGTTACAAAACACTAAAGGTTACTTGTACAAGTTTGTAGAAAAGACTGGTACTGGTACTGCCCAATTTTTAAGACGTCTTGCAGAGGAGAGCTATCGTAAGCGTGTGGGCGACAGAAAGTCGGAATGATTAACTATTATTGTTAACTTTTCTTTACGAGAGCAAAAGATTTCTTTCTTTATTATTGTTTAAAATAATAAAGAAGCTTTACTTTAAGACTTAAGCATTCCTTTTTGATAATTGAGAGACTGTTTTTTTATATGTACATATATTGACATAATAAATCTAGATGTTAACTGTTATGTGAAATAGGTAGGAATTAGAATATAATATTTGTATTTATAATTAATTGGAAATAATTCATTTAATAAGTATTATTTTGGAAAATAATTTAAAAGTATGAAATCAGTTTAAATGAGCTTTAAATAAATTATTGTTTTCAATTTGTCGACAAGATCTATTAAAATATTTACTATACAAATCATTGATATTGATATTTTGATTTGTTTAATAAATCATATAAAAATGTGCATTTGTTTTCATTTTGTTTAAAGTTTTTTTTTTTCAAATATCTATATATATAAAATTCTAACGTTACTGACTGACTGACTGACTGACTGATTCACTGACTGATTCATCATCGCACAGCCTAAACGGTTGAAGCTAAAGAGCTGAAATTTGGACAGGAGGTTGGTCTCCCGCCAAATAGATCCACTAAGACGGGATTTTTGGAAATTCGAATGTTTAGGGGGTAAAAAAGGGTAAAAACGGGTAAATTCGGTAACCTTATATCTCCTAAACTAGAAAAGATACAAAAACAGTTTAAAGCTTATCGCCGTTCATTTAAAAAATAAACGGACAGGTGTCTGGTACTTTTTTATAATTCGGCCCCTTTAGGGAATAAACGGGTAAAAACTGTATTTTGGTACTTTTTTCGCACCCCATGTATCTTTTAAACCGGTGCACATTCAAAAAATATTTTTGACTCCTTCATAACCTAACGAAAAAATAAAAATATGAATTTAGTACTTTTTGGATATTCTGACGTTTAAGGGTTTAAAATTGTACCTATTTTTGGTACTTTTTTCATAAAACATTGTTTTTGGTTTATTAACTTATACATATGAATACATAATAACGGGCTCCCACTACGATGTTGCAACTTTTTGGAATACAATTTTTATTTCGTTAATGGGGAGTAAAAAAGTACCAAAAGGGGTAAAAACGGGAAATTTGATTTTATTCAACCACAATGATCCAATTTAGATAAAATTTTTAAATTTAGAAACACTAAATATCCTAATGGGGTGTTATTTGGAACCCCGGTATCAAGTGATATTTTTTGGTACTTTTCATTCTCCAACTGGTCCTTTTTGAGTTTTCTATGATATTGAAATAGAAACATGAAATTAATAATAAAGGGACATTTCGCTACTTTTTCGTTCTTCAAAAGGTACTTTTTGAATTTTCTATAATATTGAACCTAGAAACATGAAATTAAACATGTAGAGACCGGAGTAAATGAGAATCTATAAAAGGGGACTTTTTGGTACTTTGTCGTCCTTCGACTGGTACTTTTTGAGTTTTCTATAAAATTTAACCTAGAAACATGAAATTAAGCATGTAGAGCCCGGAGTAAATGAGAATCTATAAAAGGAGACTTTTTGGTACTTTTTCGTCCTTCGACTGGTACTTTTTGAGTTTTCTATAAAATTTGACCTAGAAACATGAAATTAAGCATGTATAGCCCTTAGTAAATGAGAATCTATAAAAGAGGACTTTTTGGTACTTTTTCGTCTTTCAACTGATACTTTTTGAGTTTTCTATAAAATTTAACCTAGAAACATGAAATTAGGCATGTAGAGCCCGGAGTAAATGAGAATCTATAAAAGGGGACTTTTTGGTACTTTTTCGTCCTTCGACTGGTACTTTTTGAGTTTTCTATAAAATTTAACCTAGAAACATGAAATTAAGCATGTAGAGCCCAGAGTAAATGAGAATCTATAATAGGGGACTTTTTGGTACTTTTTCGTCCTTCGACTGGTACTTTTTGAGTTTTCTATAAAATTTAACCTAGAAACATGAAACTAAGCATGTAGAGCCCTTAGTAAATGAGAATCTATAAAAGGGGACTTTTTGGTACTTTTTCGTCCTTCGACTTGTACTTTTTGAGTTTTCTATAAAATTTAACCTAGAAACATGAAATTAAGCAGAATGAGAATATATAAAAGGGGACTTTTTGGTACTTTTTCGTCTTTCGACTGGTACTTTTTGAATTTTCTATAATATTGATCCTAGAAGCATGAAATTAAGCATGTAGAGCCTGGAGCAAATGAGAATCTATAAAAGGGGACTTTTTGTTACTTTTTCGTCCTTCGACTGGTACTTTTTGAGTTTTCTATTAAATTGAACCTAGAAACATGAAAATAAGCATTTAGAGCCCGTAGTAAATGAGAATCTATAAAAGGGGACTTTTTGGTACTTTTTCGTTCTTCAAAAGGTACTTTATGAATTTTCTATAATATTGAAAATAGAAACATGAAAGTATGCATGTAGAGCCTGGATTAAGTGAGAAACTATAAAAGGGGACTTTTTGGTACTTTTTCGTTCTTCAAAAGGTACTTTATGAATTTTCTATAATATTGAAAATAGAAACATGAAAGTATGCATGTAGAGCCTGGATTAAGTGAGAAACTATAAAAGGGGACTTTTTGGTACTTTTTCGTTCTTCAAAAAGTACTTTTTGAATTTTCTATAATATTGATACTAGAAGCATGAAATTAAGCATGTTGAGCCTGGAGTAAATGAGAATCTATAAAAGGGGACTTTTTGGTACTTCTTCGTTCTTCAAAAGGTACTTTTTGAATTTTCTATAATATTGATCCTAGAAGCATGAAATTAAGCATATAGAGCCTGGAGTAAATGAGAATCTATAAGAGGGGACTTTTTGGTACTTTTTCGTTCTTCAAAAGGTACTTTTTGAATTTTCTAGAATATTGAACCTAGAAACATGAAATTAAGCAAGTACAGCCAAGATTAAGTGATAACCTATAAAAGGGGACTTTTCGGCACTTTTTCGTTCTTCAAAAGGTACTTTTTGAATTTTCTATAATATTGAACCTAGAAACATGAAATTAAGTACGTAGAGCCCGGAGTAAGTGAGAACATATAAAAGAGGACTTTTTGGTAATTTTTCGTTCTTCAAAAGGTACTTTTTGTGTTTTTTATAACATGAAATTAACCATGTGGAGCCCGGAGTTAATGAGAATCTATAAAAGGGGACCCTTTGGTAATTTTTCGTTCTTCAACTGGTACTTTTTTAATTTTCTATAATATTGAACTTAGGAACATGAAATTAAATAAAAGAGGTCTTTTGTTACTTTTTCGTACTTCATTGGTACTTTTTGAGTTTTCTAAAATATTGAATATATAAACATAAATTTAAATAGGGGACTTTTTGATATTGCAGATATATATACATTTACAATAACATTTATTTTATTCCATTACGATGAGGGTAGCGAAGCACACTGGGTATAGCTAGTGTAGTATAACTTTGTAAAAATATTTGAAAACAAAAAAATTATTTTCTTTATATTGAATAAATATAAATTTAATTATGCTATGCACTATCAAGTCTTGCCTTTCGAGTTTCATTTTTTTACAAACTTGCATTTAAATTTTTCTTTTCCTCTACTGTTTCAAGAAATAATTTTTTGAATAATTTTTAGTTGTTCTTCAGAAAATTATCTCTCGAATAAATTTTTTGTATCGCTTCATTAGAAAATATATTCAAATTAAAAAAGTTTGTGAAAATTGTTTTAAAATTGCCTGAAGTAAATTTTTTCTTTTTATTTTTAATTACATTGTAATTAACATTGTTAAGTTTATATTGTTATATTAATGTTGATATTTTTGTGTTAAATACATACATATGTATTAGGCTTCGTTTAAAAAAATAAAATGTTTCCCGTTTTTGTGATATCACAACTTTTTAGAAGGTTTTTGTATCAGTAATTACTATGCTGAAATAATTTTTTCAAAATTCCAACTCCTTCCTCTGCATATCTGAGGCGGAAACCACTGATTTTGAGCGACATTTTTTACAGAGCAGAAACTGTAGAATTTATAGGAAATCATGCTCTAATAATTGATTTTATAGGAAAAATCAATAAGAACGAGCTAAATTTCACACTTTTATAATGCTTCAAAAGTGCATTTAGTATTATCCAAAGATGCACTTTTTTCAAAAAATTTTTTTCTTTGCGCATAATCATGCTTTTTGCTGAGACAAATGGTGCAAAAACAAAAATTTTATCATTAACCCTTTAGATGGGATGAGACTTTAAATTTTCAGATCTTAAACTTTTCAACGCTATACATATTTCGAAAACCACGAAAGTAATAAGGCCCAAAATTTGTCATTATACAAGTTATATATGGAACATTAATTGGATGGAGTTTTATTAAATTCGGAGATGATGATGAAAAACACCATTGTTTGATGGGAAATTATTAAACCACAAGCCAACATAACCATCATAACTCCTAAAGGGATTACAATAAATTAAAAATTTTAACACTATTTTTTTAAGGGCATTGAATATTATATTTACGAATGATAAAATCAGGTTTCAAATTAAAGTTTATATATCTTAAATTTTCCTGTAGAATAGTATACTAAAGTCGGATTTGAAATATGTACAGCAGTTTTCGGACTATAAAAAAATGTCGCCCAAAATCGGTATTTTGGCCGCAGATATGCAGATAATGATAAAATCAGGTTTCAAATTAAAGTTTATATATCTTAAATTTTCCTGTAGAATAGTATACTAAAGTCAGATTTGAAATATGTACAGCAGTTTTCGGACTATAAAAAAATGTCGCCCAAAATCGGTATTTTGGGCGCAGATATGCAGATGAAGGAGTTGAAATTTTAACAAAATAATTACGCCAATATTAGCGCTGTTCCAAAAACTGTCATAAAAGGTATGATATCACAATTTCAAAAATATTGCGTGAAGCCTAATATGTATGTACCTATGTTTGCTTGCATCTGAATTGTCATAATTGGAATGATGAAATGGAATATAAATTTATATGTTATGTTATATGGAAAATGTGCATAAACGTAAAAATATTACGTTACCCCATATTTTGATTATAAACAAAAATCTTTTGAATTACAATGTATAAAATTAAAGATACTAGAGACTTTATTCATAACAATTTATCATAGGTTTATAAGACGAATTTTCATACAAAATTTGTTCTATAAGCTTTTGATAAGTTCTTATGAATAAGACAGTATATTTCTCCCAGTCGTTTGACCTATTTCTGTTAGAAAATTTCAACATTAAGTTAACAATATAGTAATTACATACATATGTATGTCTTTTTTCATGTGTCTGTTTATAAGGTAATGGTATAATAAATTTATTATAATAAAATGATTTTTGTTGTTTTTAGTTGATTTGTTGTTAATATAAATGGCATTTTAATATTTTACGAAAAGTTTTTGTATTGTTTTTAAAAATTAAATGTTATTGCTATTTGCTTTTAATTTAAATATCTAATTGTAATTGTAATTGTAATTGTAATAATCATAGTAACATAAATAAAAATCTCAATTATTTATGTACATATGGATGTGTGTACATATGTATGTAAATTGGAAATTAATATTAAAAATATATTTTTCTTCATGTTCACTGCAGTTTATAATAGTCTGTATAGTTGTCAGTTGATTTCGTTTGATGTTATTATTGTTAAAAAAAAATAATAATAATTTTGGATCACTTTCATACTTACGTCGTATGTTCAATATTTAAGTTTTTGAAATCAAACAATGTTTAGAAGTAAAATAAAATATTGTTGTTATAATGGAGCTGATTTTGTGTAATTGTTTGTGTATTAAAGTATCTGGTACATTGTAATAGAAATATGTAAATATGTTTTATTTACTAATTTTTGCGTGTATATTTATTTTATATATTTTATTTTAATTTTTTATTTTATATTTTTATTTTTAAGTTAAAAACGCATTTAAGCCCTAAAATGTAAACGAGAAAAAATTCGCTTTTAATTGAAGACACGCTACTTGCTAAGTTACTATTTATGTATACAATTTTTCATTTCTATTTTTATAATTATAAAACATAGTTGTTTAGATCCGTTTCGATCTGCTTCGATCTGTTTTTATGTTTTGCGTGAAAATTATGATTATTTGATTTAAACAAAACAGCTTTGAAGTTCTTCCCCAAACTTCAAAACTAGTCTCGTTTATAAATAATTTATTATTTTTGTGTCTTTCTGTTTAGCAAGCAATTTTTAAAAAATTCGTTGAAATTTAACTAAATCACAAAGTGTTATTTTGTTGTAATTATTATTTATTTGATAGGATTTCCAAATTATTTTAATGTTCATTTTAATTTGAAGCTATAGACGTAATTATACAAATTATTGTTTTTATTTGTGATTATTTTCATTTCAAATTTGTCACAGGTAAGCTTTTCTAGTTGAGCTTTAAATGAATTTTAATAAATTTTACAAACTTTTAATAGTAAAGCTAAAAAACTTCCCCGTTCTTAATAATTTTATTATTGTTATTATTTTTTACTGTACCATTAATAATTTATAAACATTTTAGAGATGTTTTAATATTTGAACAAATTGTGTTAAGTTTTGATTGTTTTATTTATCTTTTTGTAGGTGATGAAAAAAGAAATTGTTGTTGATTGACATAAACATTTATATTTCTATGTAGTTATACTTAAATCAAAATTTTTAATTGTTGTTTCTTTTTTACTTATTTGGAACGGAATTTATTTGTAAGGTTTATTTTATTAACTTGATTGTAGAAATGTATGATTGTAACTTGTTTTTAAACGACTTTTAGTTGTAATTAATTTATCTGTTCGATTTGGAAAATATAAAACAAATTATCGTGTATTATAAAGAAGAAAGCAAATTATGTATTCAATTATGATTATTTTTAAAATTCTTAATTTCTCTAATTGGAAAATGTTTAAATTGTTATGTATGATTTTATGCACTACATTTCAACATGAAAATACATATAAATCGTAAGAAATAAATTGCTTAAGTACATACATGGACATTTTTGTTTATTATTTGTACTTATGACTTAATGTTTTCTGAAGAAATTGTCTTCATTTTGAAGAAGAAATGTAATTTTTATCTGAAAAAAGCAATTTGAACATCCATTAAGTTGCTCAATGTTAGAGTTAGATACTTTTTATTTGATTACTTCTGATTTCATCAACATGAGAATATTTTAGGTTTTAATTTCTTTTTAAGTTTTAATTAAAATATATTAATTTTTCTGATTTAAATCAATGTTTATTTCACGGTTTTAGGAGTATATAGAAAAAATTTACGTTTATAGCTTCATGAAACATAAAATATACATACAATATGTCTTCCATCATTTGATTCAAATTCCATATTTTCTTTTTCTATTTAAAATGATTTTAAAGTTGATGCGAAAAAAATTAACCATTACGAATATTTTTTAATTAATCATTGGATATTAATTAACGAGTTTAATATCAATAAAACAAATTACCTTCTAGAAGCTTAGATTGCTTAGACTTGGTGCGGATGATTTTAATTTTAATTAACGATTTCAGATTTTGTGAATGATTTAGATTAAAATCAATTGAAAATTTTCTAAAGTGCTTTAAACATTGCCACATAATTTGAAATAGTTTTTAAAAACTAATGTAAAAGTAGAAACAATTAAAAAACAGTTTTGTTTTTTGTAAAACAATTTATTCATTTAAATATTAAAATTGTTAATTGAATCAGATAAATGGAAGAATATTGAAATAAGTATGTGTGAAAGAGTATATTTTTGGTTTTGTTAATTTGTATTGTTGTTTTGAAAACATAATTATGTATTTTTTAGCTAAATAAATAAATAAATATTTAATATGTTTAATTTTGTTTTATTAATTATTTCCCTAATTTGAATTTAATATTTATTTATATTTCATATATGTTTGTTTGTATATATTTTTAGTTTATTTAACTAAATGCGATTGCTAATTAAAAAAATTGTATTTTGTTTTTAAATTTATATTTTATAATTGTAATTATAATAATAATTATTATGTATAAGTATTATGCATGTAAAGTTGGATGTAAATATAAATATTTATATTTTTGAAAGTGTACCGCAGACATTTTGTTTATAAATATAAGTATAACAATTTATCAAATAATGATTGGAGACTTTTGTTTTTAGAGGATTTTGTTTTTTATATAAAATATAGACTATTTTAGTTTTTTTTTTTCTTAATTTTTAAATTAAAATAAAAGAACAGAAATAAAAGTAATTAAAACGTTTGAAACGCATATTTTGATTCGAAAATATGGTCCCGAAGTTGTTTTTTTTCTTTTTTTTTTTTTTTTATTATGTACCATTTTGTAATGTACGTGTACGAAGAATAAAGTAACAAATAAAAATATAGATTTAAGTTTTTGAATGATACGAATGTAAATGTATGATTGTTCGAAGAATATATGTAGATGTATGCATGAATGAGTTTTTAATATATAATTTATTATTTAGGTTATTTATTTATGTTTATGATCAATGTATGTATGTAGATATACATACTACATACATATTCCATAAGCGTACTAAGTATTTTGTTTTAACGATTTCCTGTTTAATTATAATTCAATAAACTAATGATTCTAGGCTTTTTTCTATTTAGTAATTTCTTATATCCTTATTGTTTTATATTTTTAATTTAATTGTTATTATAATATTTTATGTCATTGCTGTCATTGCGCAATAATCGAAGATACTCTTAGTAATTTTTGTTTATTTTAATTCTAGATGAAAATGCGTGCATTATTTAAATAATTTCTTTCTAAGTCGAAGACCATTTTCGGCCTGTTATTTTAAAATATATATTTTTATATCTATCTTTCGTTAAATAAAGTTCGAATCGATTTTAAATTTGTATCATTTAATTAAAAATAATTTAATGTGTAAATTTTTGGAATTTTTGAGTTCGTTTAGGAAAATATATGAGTTTGTTTTTTTTTATTAAAAATATGTTTTTTAAGAAAAGTAACTTGTGATAGTTTGTTTATTATATTATTTTTTTTTTGTTTTAATGAATTTGTTATGCAAGGTTTTTTATATTTTTTTTATAATAATAAACTAGCGTTTTGTATTTTTGGTGTATTAAAGGCATTATTTTAAAATTGTATTTAAAAAGTTTTGAATTAAAATTTAAAAAATATTTTTTTTTATTTTTCTGCTTTCTGTTCATATGTAGCTGAACTTTTTAATGCTCATAATTAAATTTTTGGTTTTGTTGTTCAATTAAAAAGTGTGCATACATATTTGTTTTTTATTTAATTTATTTCATTTAATTGTTATTGTTATTATTATTATAATTTTTTTTATTTTTATGTTTGTATTAAAAAATTATTTATTAAATATTGTTTGTTGTATTTAAAGCATATTCCTTTTATTTTATTTTTTTAAATTTTTGTAAAATTACCTTTTTGTTGCTGCTGAATACATACATATATACATATGTATAATATATTTATGTGTTGTTCTTTATTCGATTTCGCTTCTGTTTAAAGCGTTTAATTGTAGGTCCTCTTTTTAATTAATCATTCATTATTATTAATTTGTGATTTATTTTTCTGGTTCAATAATTTCAACAGTTACAGTTTCAGCGACAGGATTCGATATAATATTCGTTTGTGTTAATGGCTGTTGTTCTTGTTGCTGTATTGGCTGCAGTTGTTGTTGCTGTTGGTTTTTCTGTTGTGAGGGATGCTGATGTTGATGTGGCTGGTATGTTGAACCTTTCCTCTCATGATGGGAGTTATTCACTACGATACCTGCTGGAGAAACAGAATTACTACGCGTTGATCTTAATGAGGTGGCGGATGCATTACTACCATGTGAATTCGAGCGTGAGCCTGAAATTATATAATTAATAAAAATAATTAAAATAATTTTTTTTAACAAATGAAAACTCCAAATAACCTTAACGTTCATATGTACATATTTATTTACATTGTATATAAGTATGTATTACATTCACAATTCTACTACATACATAGATAATAAACAATATTTATTTATTAAATTATTGTGAATACATTTATTTAGTGGAATTTAAAATGTTAATTGCAAATAATAATGTGCAAAAAATAAAGTGAATATCTCAATAAGAAATCATACATATGTATAGCAAAAAACAAAAATTCTATTACTACAGTAAAGATACATATATGATTTGTCTGTTGTTTCCTGGTTTATTAGATACCAAAATACATATTTGTGGTTTCAGAAGAAATTTATTTTTTCAGTTTTCTAAAGTATTTATAAAAATGTCGTAACTGTTATTGAAAAATGAAAGAAGAAAACTGCGTTTGAAGGTTTAAAAAATATATTAAATAAACAATGTTATTACGTTTTGTAGCTTAACTTCTAAAATTTTCTGAAAAGGAGTTGTCACAAAGCTAACGATATGTTAATCTATTTTAAGAGAATTATTTGTTTGTAACTGATTGACTCAATATATTTTTAGTGTCATAAGTGGCTTCATCAATAAAGTAGGTCTAAATCCGAATATAGTTCATATACTTGTACTATTACAGGTTAAATTTCTGATTTAAATTAGTTTATATGATTTTAGAATCGTATGGTCTATCTAGTAAAATTTTGAACAATATTTAAAAAGTTAATACGGAATTTTCATTTTTGTAAATTATCAAAACTACAAGAGGTTATAAATATTACGCAATAATTTTGATTTCAAAAAAGAATTAAATAGAAAGAAACGTAAGTATAATAAATAAATTCACGAATGCCCACGTCAATATTAGAGTAAATAGTTAATAGTAAATTTTAAATTATACTTCAAAGCAAACAAATTAATTTGAAAAATTAAAAGATAATTATAATTAAACATATCTACTTGTAAACAAGAGTCCAATCTACGTAACCGATGTAAATATGTTGTATGTATGTTTGTGTTTATTTGATAAAGGTGTAGTAAGAGTAAGACTATCTACATATAAATTGTGTGTAATTTAATAAGATATACATAGTAAAATAGTACATTTTTGTTTGTTTAAACTTTTGATATCGTGTAACAAAAACAAATTTCTTGTACACGTGTTTGGAGGTTTTTCTTTTTTACTCAATACAAGTGCAATAGCTCCACCATATAACCAACAACAAGATACTACCAAAACAAAAACAACGATACTACTACTTGACTAACATTAGGAGTATGCGATTATCCAACTAAACCAAGTTTTTACAGAATTATTTTCAGTATGTAAGTTCATACATGTGTATAGGGTGGCCCCAAAATGAATGTTGCTGATAGTTCCAAATAAAATCTGAGATACATCTCAAAATTTGTTTCCTGACGTGAAATGAGCTTTCAATGTCATATCGAACATTTAAGTGCGATTACAATGTCAGTAAACTGATAGATTTTAATATAACTTTTTAAAAATTGATTTCGAATAAATATATAACCGAATCATAATAAGCGGATAAACCGTTTAACCGAATCAATATTCTCAAAAAAATCATCAGAATATATCGTTTACGTTAATATGTTTCTCATTTAAATTGAAATTTAATTTAAGTTTTTACAATAAAAAATTTATTTCGCACCGACATTTGATAAATCTATATGAAAGACTTTAGTATGACGCATGTTTGTATGTTCAGTTCAAAAAACCCGAATTTTGGCTTATGCCAGTCTGGTAGTAAGTGAGCGATATGTATGTATGTACATACATATATGGAATTCCAGAGTGTAAATTAAAAAGCCGTCACTGCAGATATGCGTTTGTTGTAAAATTCTTTGTAAAACGGTTGTTGTTGGATAATGAAACTAATAAGTAGGTACGAATGCTAATTATTTGTTATTGTGTTAATATTTATTAGCAAAAACTACTGTATGAAAGTAGAAGAGTAATTATGGAGACAGATAGTATAGAGAGAGAGATAGATTAAATAACTATGTAGAGGAGAAGTAGAGTTTGTTGTGTGTTTGTGTATGTGTTTGATTTTGTTCAGAACTACAATATCGAGACTACAAACTGTTGACACCATACCTCGTAGAATGGGGTTCGTTTACAATTGTTTTTTTTTTTTGTTTATTTTTTGAAGAATATGATGATATGTTTGTTTTTTATCATTTTTCGTTTCTTTATATTTAAATTAAAATTTATTTGGTTTATTGGTAATTGTTGGCGGTGGAGTCATCAAATTTGAGCTGCAGGCAGTAGTTCCAGCCACAGGTGTTTGATTCACATATGTTATAGTTGTGGTTGGAGCATTTATAGATAATGGTGACACACTTGTTTGTGGGCCATGATTGGTCGTACTAGCATGTGGTATGGTTGTATTCGCATGCGTGTGCGAGGCATGGTGTGTGTTGGCTGTATGGTGCTCAAGCAAACGTGAGCAGTTTGAAGCATCACTAACGCGAGAATCACTGGATCGAGTATTACTTTTAGAACGCGTCATACGCCCTGAAATGAATGAAAAGCAGTAATAAAAAGGCCCCATTAAAAGGCCACAAATGAATGAAAGCCACTTAATATTGTAAAATACTTATAACAATGTGTGTTTACTATCTAAATAATACATACATACATTTTTAATACATAACTTGTATCTATCAATAATCTAAAATTTTCAATTACATATTGTTTTAATAAAATCCCAACAGACGCATTTTTTAAATTTTTATCAAAATTGTATACATACATACGTCATATTTATATGTACTTAAGTACAAAGGCAAATTAAATATCAATAAATAAATAAATAATACAACGGATTCTCTTGTCAGACTTGTCATTCAAAATGATTGAGCAGGATTGTTGAAAATAATCTATTTGACACCGTTGCCGCTTTGTCTATTAAACAGTAGAAAATTGTTTACATTATGTATGCAAATCAAATACACTAAAGGTGTTCAAAAATATCGATTTTGTTCAGATAGGTCTTATTTTGTTTGTTAGTGTCTAAAACATACTCGCGTAAAATTTTAGTAAAATCGTGTAATGGGAATCCGTGCCGGAACTTTTTTGATTTCTTCAAAAATAATGTCAAACTACATTCTTTGAATATTTCAATCAATCTTATGAATAAATAACAAAGTTACTGGCATTTTTCCACCTCACATATTTACTGAAAACGGATAATGGATATTTTCACATGTACATTTTTTTTTGAAAATGTGACGTGTGAATTTGTCAATAACTTTGTTCTTCGATTTTTGGACACCTCTAATATACACTAGCCTTGCCATTTAAAAAAAATTAAATTTTCATTTGAGAATTTAAAGCAAATTAAATCTACGACAAATTATTTTTAAATACTGATCTAATGTTCACACGAAAAAAGTTTTTTTCTTTTTAAATTTTAAAGTAACCCTATTAATTTAATATATACATACCATTGGTTTTATGATAACGAAAACAATACCATAATTTCATGAGCTATATACTTTTTATCATCTAGGTATTATGGCTTGGTTTATTGGGATCTTACTTTCGAATTATAAGTTTTGACATTATGTTAATTAAGAGAAGAATCCTTTAAGAATTTATGATTTATATCTAATTCGAAGATGATATTTAATATACATATTATATTTTTTGCAGTTTTCATGCTTAAATATAATTTCATAAAAATATATGCAAACAAAGTTAAGTTAGGTTATATTTAAGAGTAATAAAACGTGTGTAGTGAATATATATATTTGGATAAGAAAAGCTTATTTAATGCAAAACTGGTAGCTTATCAACATTTGAACCATAGTTAAGGCTTAGAAACAGATAAAGTTTATTGTTATATTAAATAAAATATCCTCCCTGCCAATTATTCGCTTCTTTAGAAAGGTTTTAGTTTATCAATTCAATTTGTAACATGTTTTTCCAAAAACTTAATTTTTTTTTTCACATGCATATAGAAAATGTTTTTTTTTTATAGAAATGTGTGGTAGATTCAATTCAATATGTATATTTTAATATTTTTGTTATAAATGTTTATTAACTGGTACAACAAAAATACAAATTGTTTAGATACTTTTCTTAAAATAATAAATAATATGTAAAATATTTACAGCTATTTTGGGGTTTGGAATTAAAAAATAATTCACACTGCCTAATTTTGTAATTGTGTGTAATTCAAGTTCGAAAATCTTACAATAGCATTTATCAAAAACAGACAATGTTTTTTATAATTGTTTAACTTTTATTTTATTGGAAAGGATAACGAAGTTTAAAATTATTTTATAAGATATAAGCTTCTTGCCATAGAGTAAACTTCTTGCTATATATACATTCTTATTTGTCCCTAAATAGTAGTATATCATATTAAATCTTCACTATTAGTTGATGAGATTGATTTTTTGCTCTTTAATTTGATTTGTATTTACATTTAAAAATTAAAATAAAACTTTTTGATTGATTAATTGAAATTGTGATCTGCATAATAAAGTTAATTAAATTGAATAAAATTGGGTGCAATAGGGTGCATGAATACGAACCTGTCTTACCTAACGACGGATTAGGGGAATGCGGACGCAAAGATGCCATACTTGGTTGACGAGATGGTGCTCTTACTGACATTCGAGATCCTCGCCGTTCCTGTCCATGCAATAGTTTACTCTCGCGCAAAAGTGACACATTCATCAACCGTGGATTTGGTGTATTGAAGATAGTTCGATTTTCGCGCCAACGTGCCCTACAAAAACAGATTGTTTATGAATAAACATACGACTTGATTGAACTATACAAATGACATTTATAAGCTTTCGATACATACTGACTAAACAATCTTAAAACCACACATATAATGATAAACATTAATGCCATACCAATCAGGACGCCAATCATTGCTGGATCTATATACGTTTCGGGTCCTTTTTTATCGCCACGTCCTTTAAGTACATAAAAAGAGATTATTTTGTACATAATTGACCATTGTCAAATATAGTCTGCCAATAAAGCGCGCATTTGAAGAAAATAAATGAAATACATAGATTTATTTCGTTTTTAAATCATTCATTATCCTCTTGCCAGATACGCACTTGTATATTTTACAATGTGTACATACAAATTTCGAAATAATATTCTTTAGTCATTCATAAATACATACATATGTATGTATGTATGAATGTATCTATGAGTGTATGTTTGTGCATTGGACAAGTGTTTATGTACTATATTCGTATGTAAATATTTGAATTAACAGTGACATATGTATGTCCAGATCTTTCACTGAAAACAACGTTTTGTACAATATCAAACAATAAAACATAAAAATAGCAGGATGTGTAGTTTAGCTGACAGTGTGTAAAACTTTTATAAATAATTTACCTTTGCACTCAACAGAGCCATCTTTCAACCAAACGGGTGTCATGTCAAAACGACATACACACCGTTGATCTCGACATTCTGTTTGGAAGTATTTCACTTCACATTGTTCATTAAAGAAACAGGTTTCATTTACCGCGGCCTCTGTGGATTTATAAATAAAAAAGTGAACAAAAAATTATTAATTAAAAAACAATAAAATTATTAATACATATCAATGTGTTGTAATGTGTATATTTCATGTGTTGTGTCATTTTTATCGTTTTTATACATTCACCTTCATAAGAAGGGTATAAATAAGTTTTTCATACTGTTTGTAATTTCTATAATATAATTTTCAAACCCTATAAAGTATATATATTCTGGATCCTTACATATATCATAGTCGATTTAGCCATGTCCGCCCGTCTGTGTTTCTGTTGAAATCAGTCCAGATATTTGCGAGATTCGAATCTTCAATAATTCTGTCAGGCATGCTTTCGAGAAGAACGTTATTTAAAATCAGCAATATGGGTCCATAAATAACGGAGATATGAGCAAAAATCCAAGACAAACTTTAAAAATTTCATAAGAAATTGAGATTTTTCGTGCATACTGAGGCAGAAATTGTAAAGAAACATTAACAACATCACATATAACCAAACGGTAAATTTCGTTCTTGTACTTGCTTGTTTATAAAAACAAAGCAAAGAAAGAACAATTACGAATGAAACAGTGTGTTGTTACTGGCTAGAAACATGAAATTAAGTATGTAGTGCCTAGGTTAAGTGAGTACCCATGTAAAGCGCGGATTAAGTGAAAACACATAAAAGGGTACTTTTTGGTACTTTTTCGTTTTTCAAAAGGTACTTTTTGAATTTTCTATAATATTGAACCCTGAAACATGAAATTATTTTTGAAGGAAAATATAGGTGATCACAAAATAACCTTATTTTTCAATTTAAACGTGTTTAACGAAGTTATAAGCGATTTGATGTTTTCGATCAATAAATCGATTTTTGAAGGAAAATATGGGTAATCACAAAATAACCTTATTTTTCAATTTAAAGGTGTTTTAACGAAGTTATAAGCGATTTGATGTTTTCGATCAATAAATCGATTTTTGAAGGAAAATATGGGAGATCACAAAATAAGCTTATTTTTCAATTTAAACGTGTTTTAACGAAGCTATAAGTGATTTTATGTTTTCGATCAATAAATCGATTTTTGAAGGAAAATATGGGTGATCACAAAATAAGCTTATTTTTTCAATTTAAACGTGTTTTAACGAAGTTATAAGTGATTTTATGTTTTCGACCAATAAATCGATTTTTGAAGGAAAATATGGGTGATCACAAAATAACCTTATTTTTCAATTTAAACGTGTTTTAACGAAGGAAAATATGGGTGATCACAAAATAACCTTATTTTTCAATTTAAACGCGTTTTAAAGAAGTTATAAGTGATTTTATGTTTTCGATTAATAAATCGATTTTTGAAGGAAAATATGGGTGATCACAAAATAACCTTATTTTTCAATTTAAACGTGTTTTAACGAAGTTATAAGTGATTTTATGTTTTCGATCAATAAATCGATTTTTGAAGGAAAATATGGGTGATCACAAAATAAGCTTATTTTTCAATTTAAACATGTTTTAACGAAGTTATAAGTGATTTTATGTTTTCGATCAATAAAATATGGGTGATCACTAAATAATCTTTTTTTTCAAATTAAACGTGTTTTAACGAAGTTCTAAGTCATTTTATGATTTCGATCAATAAATCGATTTTTGAAGTAAAATATGGGTGATCACAAAATAAGCTTACTTTTCAATTTAAACGTGTTTTAACGAAGTTATAAGTGATTTTATGTTTTCAACCACAAAAAATCGAAATTAAACACTATGGTGAAGGGTATATAAAATTCGGCACAGCCGCATTAGCACAAAATAACCTTATTTTTCAATTTAAACGCGTTTTAAAGAAGTTATAAGTGATTTTATGTTTTCGATCAATAAATCGATTTTTGAAGGAAAATATGGGTGATCACAAAATAACCATATTTTTCAATTTAAACGCGTTTTAAAGAAGTTATAAGTGATTTTATGTTTTCGATCAATAAATCGATTTTTGAAGGAAAATATGGATGATCACAAAATAACCTTATTTTTCAATTTAAAAACGTTTTAAAGAAGTTATAAGTGATTTTATGTTTTCGATTAATAAATCGATTTTTGAAGGAAAATATGTGTGATCACAAAATAACCTTATTTTTCAATTTAAAAGCGTTTTAAAGAAGTTATAAGTGATTTTATGTTTTCGATTAATAAATCGATTTTTGAAGGAAAATATGGGTGATCAAAAAATAACCTTATTTTTCAATTTAAACGTGTTTTAACTAAGTTATAAGTGATTTTATGTTTTCGATCAATAAATCGATTTTTGAAGGAAAATATGGGTGATCAAAAAATAACCTTATTTTTCAATTTAAACGTGTTTTAACGTAGTTATAAGTAATTTTATGTTTTCGATCAATAAATCGATTTTTGAAGGAAAATATGGGTGATCACAAAATAACAATTTAAACGTGTTTTAACGAAGTTATAAGTCATTTTATGTTTTCGATCAATAAATCGATTTTTGAAGGAAAATATGGGTGATCACAAAATAACCTTATTTTTCAATTTAAACGCGTTTTAACGAAGTTATAAGTGATTTTATGTTTTCGATCAATAAATCGATGTTTGAAGGAAAATATGGGTGATCACAAAATAACAATTTAAACGTGTTTTAACGAAGTTATAAGTCATTTTATGTTTTCGATCAATAAATCGATTTTTGAAGGAAAATATGGGTGATCACAAAATAACCTTATTTTTCAATTTAAACGCGTTTTAACGAAGTTATAAGTGATTTTATGTTTTCGATCAATAAATCGATTTTTGAAGGAAAATATGGCTGATCACAAAATAACAATTTAAACGTGTTTTAACGAAGTTATAAGTCATTTTATGTTTTCGATCAATAAATCAATTTTTGAAGGAAAATATGGGTGATCACAAAATAACCTTATTTTTCAATTTAAACGCGTTTTAAAGAAGTTATAAGTGATTTTATGTTTTCGATCAATAAATCGATTTTTGAAGGAAAATATGGATGATCACAAAATAACCTTATTTTTCAATTTAAACGCGTTTTAACGAAGTTATAAGTGATTTTATGTTTTCGATCAATAAATCGATTTTTGAAGGAAAATATGGGTGATCACAAAATAACCTTATTTTTCAATTTAAACGCGTTTTAACGAAGTTATAAGTGATTTTATGTTTTCGATCAATAAATCGATTTTTGAAGGAAAATATGGCTGATCACAAAATAACCTTATTTTTCAATTTAAACGCGTTTTAAAGAAGTTATAAGTGATTTTATGTTTTCGATCAATAAATCGATTTTTGAAGGAAAATATGGCTGATCACAAAATAACCTTATTTTTCAATTTAAACGCGTTTTAACGAAGTTATAAGTGATTTTATGTTTTCGATCAATAAATCGATTTTTGAAGGAAAATATGGCTGATCACAAAATAACCTTATTTTTCAATTTAAACGCGTTTTAACGAAGTTATAAGTGATTTTATGTTTTCGATCAATAAATCGATTTTTGAAGGAAAATATGGGTGATCACAAAATAAGCTTATTTTTCAATTTAAACGCGTTTTAACGAAGTTATAAGTAATTTCATGTTTTCGATTAATAAATCGATTTTTTAAGGAAAATATGGGTGATCACAAAATAACCATATTTTTCAATTTAAACGCGTTTTAAAGAAGTTATAAGTGATTTTATGTTTTCGATCAATAAATCGATTTTTGAAGGAAAATATGGATGATCACAAAATAACCTTATTTTTCGATTTAAACGCGTTTTAACGAAGTTATAAGTGATTTTATGTTTCCGATCAATAAATCGATTTTTGAAGGAAAATATGGGTGATCACAAAATAACCTCATTTTTCAATTTAAACGCGTTTTAACGAAGTTATAAGTGATTTTATGTTTTCAATCAATAAATCGATTTTTGAAGGAAAATATGGGTGATCACAAAATAACCTTATTTTTCAAATTTAACGCGTTTTAAAGAAGTTATAAGTGATTTTATGTTTTCAACCACAAAAATCGAAATTAAACACTATGGTGAAGGGTATATAAAATTCGGCACAGCCGCATTAGCACAAAATAACCTTATTTTTCAATTTAAACGCGTTTTAAAGAAGTTATAAGTGATTTTATGTTTTCGATAAATAAATCGATTTTTGAAGGAAAATATGGGTGATCACAAAATAACCTTATTTTTCAATTTAAACGCGTTTTAACGAAGTTATAAATGATTTTATGTTTTCGATCAATAAATCGATTTTTGAAGGAAAATATGGGTGATCAAAAAATAACCTTATTTTTCAATTTAAACGTGTTTTAATGAAGATATAAGTGATTTTATGTTTTCGATCAATAAATCGATTTTTGAAGGAAAATATGGGTGATCACAAAATAACCTTATTTTTCAATTTAAACGCGTTTTAAAGAAGTTATAAGTGATTTTATGTTTTCGATAAATAAATCGATTTTTGAAGGAAAATATGGGTGATCACAAAATAACCTTATTTTTCAATTTAAACGCGTTTTAACGAAGTTATAAATGATTTTATGTTTTCGATCAATAAATCGATTTTTGAAGGAAAATATGGGTGATCACAAAATAACCTTATTTTTCAATTTAAACGCGTTTTAAAGAAGTTATAAGTGATTTTATGTTTTCGATTAATAAATCGATTTTTGAGGGAAAATATGGGTGATCAAAAAATAACCTTATTTTTCAATTTAAACGTGTTTTAATGAAGATATAAGTGATTTTATGTTTTCGATCAATAAATCGATTTTTGAAGGAAAATATGGATGATCACAAAATAACCTTATTTTTCAATTTCAACGCGTTTTAACGAAGTTATAAATGATTTTATGTTTTCGATCAATAAATCGATTTTTGAGGGAAAATATGGGTGATCAAAAAATAACCTTATTTTTCAATTTAAACGTGTTTTAACGAAGTTATAAGTCATTTTATGTTTTCGATCAATAAATCGATTTTTGAAGGAAAATATGGGTGATC